ACCTAGTTGGCAATCTTCAGACCAGTATACAGGGCTGGTTCTGGCTAGAACGTAGGTGTCTAGTCACGACCTATAGGAAGACTTAGGATATGGTTTACCACCTTAAATATCCGTTTGACTCCTTGTACCGGTACTGCAACTTTAAAAAAAAAAAAAAAAAAAAATTATTTATATTAGTAAATTTAGTATAAATAGGATAGCTTTAAAACTTGATTAGAAACAAACAATTTTTAAACAAGTTCAAAATATTTAGATAATTCAGATAGTTTTTAGATATTTTAGAAAATTTAAATTAGTTTTTATCAAAAATAAGATAAATACTTATAACTTTTATATACAAATAAATATAATTGTAATTGTATTAAATTTTTTCTTTTAATAAAATCCTAATTGTTTATTTTATTATATATTGACCATTGAAATTATTGTAAAACCTTTCAGAATTTTCTTTGAAATATTAATTAAAGTTAAATTTTTGTTAATCTTATATAAATACTAATTTTAGTTATTAATGTCATAAAATAACAATATAAATTTAAATTTTAATATACTTTTATTTTTAATTCAAATTTAAAAAAAACTATTTTTATTAAATTCTTTTAAGTTAAAGAAATTTTTTTCAAATATTATTATTTTAAATCAGAAGCTTATATTTTTTCTTTATATTATATTAGAAAGATTATATCTTTTAAAGTATTTGTTATTAACATTTATAAAAAAAATATTCTTATGTATAATCTAAAGTTATAATCTTTTATCTTTAAGTAAAATAATATTACTTTATCTTTTAATTATTATATATAATTAGAAAGTTTATTATTATTTTTTTTAATTAATTAAAAAAATTCTATATATATATACTTATTTTTTTATTTAATTTTATATTTAATTAAAAAATAATTATTATAATTTATAGTATTTTCATAATCTTTATTTATATAAAGAAGTTGATTTACTAAAACTATTTAATTAGGTAATATTAATTAAAAAAAAATCACAAATCTATCTTTAGTATTTTATTAGTTATATCATTTTAATATGTATATATTTATTATAAAAATTTTTACAAAAATAAAAATTATAATTTTAACTTTGAATATGAAATTTATATTAAATATTACTAATATTACTAATAATTTTAAAGATTTTTATTATTTATTTGAAAACTACAAAATATATTAATAATTATTGAAAAAATTTGATAATTTTAATAAATACTAATTATAATATTTGAATAATTTTTAATTATTTTATTTAATGATTATTAAAATTTTTATAGAAAAAATTATTAAAGAAGTATAATCTAAATCTTACAAATAAGATAAAAATAAATATAAATAATATTTTTTAAATTATTTCATAGATAAAAATTAAAAAAAAAATAAAATAAAAATAAAGTAAATCTTTTTTATAAATTATTTATCTAATACTTTTAAAAAAAAATTCAATTTTAAAAAATTTAATAAAAGATACAAAAAAATAAATTTTAGATTTTTATTATTACTGAAAATATTTATAAGTATAAATCTTTTTTGATATAATATTAGATTAAATTATTTTTTAATTTTTAAAAAAAAATCAAAAAATTTTTCTTTTTTAATGTTTTTTTTTATTAACTTACATATTATTATATCAAAATAATATAAATCTTTCATATAATTTTATATAAAATTTGATTTTATTTAAATTAAGAGGTGTGTTAGAAATCAGTTAATATCATTTAAATAATAGTTTTTACCCTTTACCCTTATATAATAACAATCTGATTAGTTAAAAATATATATATAGTATATAATAATTAATATATAATCAACTCTCTATTAGAGTTTATATCCGTTCATCCAGATATCTAATTAACTAATATCCATTTCAATCCAAATATCCAGCTAATTTATCTGGATAATATCCAGATATTCAGGATATTATCTGGATATCCTAAATTATCCGAATATCCAGTTAATTTATCTGGATATCCAGGATATCTTTTGAATGAATTTTTATTTTAAGTTTTTTTTTGCTTTCATAAATGAATTTAATTTAATTTCTCTCATTTAAAATTAATAAAGAAACTTCTCTATACGCGCATTTTATATTGTTTCACTATGTATTACCATTTTTAGTTATTTTGATTTAATTATAGTTTCGACACATAAATTAAAACTTTAAAAATACGTGATAATATTGCACAATATTTTTATTTAAAAATATAAAAAATATAAAAAATAATAAAATATATAAAAAAATTTTAAAAAATTAATTTTGAGGCTGACAATGCCTTATATTTCTATGCTACCTTCAGGAATGATAGTTTACTAAGAATGTAATATAAATTTAAAAATTAATTAAATTTAACTAAAGATTCTTAATCTTAATAATTACCAGGTTTGGGTAATAAATAATCTATAATATCTCTCTCCAATTCGCGATCATCTTCTCCTTTAGAACTATTGTGCCATTCGCAGAAATTCTAAAAAATTAATACTGTTAATATATACATATTTTTATTATCTTTATTCATTATTATTATTTTACTAACATAAAATGCGGAGATTAGATTTCTCTATTTCTGCTCACATTGTGCAGCAGAGTAATTTATATGATAATTTCTCTAAATCTTTCTGGAAACACTTTTCAGAATATGACACAACTCTTTCTAGGAATGCTGTGGTAATAAATGTTGCGCTGCCTTAATATTATTGATTTGATTGAAAATCAAATCAATAATTCAAGTAAGATAAAAGAAAGGCGAATACTTAAAGTAAATTAAAAGACTATTTTATTTTTACATTCTTTCTTGGACTAAAAAATCAGTCTCAGCGTCTTCCCATAAAATCGGCGTTGCTATTGTATAAAAATAAAATAAAAAATCAAAATGTTTAATATAATTGTTAGTTGTTATTTTTTTAAAAAATAAAAAAAATATGTTTCCCTTTATAAACAATTTCTCTTGTTTGAAATTCTGTTTCTTTTTGTAAAATTAACAATACTATATCAATATCAACGTGAACAAATATTGATAAAACTATATTTTTAACTAAAATTCACATCAGACAATTACAGCTTAAATACTTCTACAGATTTTGAATCAGTATAATAACGAATTATATAATTACAGATCTACATACAATATATCATCTCTAGTGATATATATCAAAAGATTCGCTCAAGATCAACTCGAGTTCAACTCAAGTTTGCTACAAACGAATATAAATTTAACTCAAATCAGTCAGAAACCATTGATTTTATTAAATTATTTAATATTATAAATATTTTATTAAATATTCCATTAAATAATTAATTAAATTATGTTAAATTTTAACAATTGCATGTAGAAATTATCAGCAAAATTTCAGCATAGATTGAAAAGTTTGAGAAAATTTTAAAATTGTGTGTTAATAACATCAGCGATAAATAACAACCCCTAAATAAATTTGCAATATGTATTGATGATCATAAATATATCTTAACACATCATTTAAATCACATGGTATATACAAAAAATATGATATTTAAGAAATATTTACAAAACTTTGAACTAGAACAGTTTCCGTTTTCTAATTAATAATAATTTTATAAAATTTTATTTAATTACATTTACGGTATCATACTAGAACAAAAATGTTTTATTTATTGATGATCTACAATATGTATAACATAAAATATTTGTCCTACACATCACATTTCTATCTCGATTCCGCATAGTTTACCTATGACCTAATCAAATTATTCAGATTCTGGAAAAATATTACTAATCAGATGCCAATTTCGTTTACAAAATACTAAATGTTCAAAATTAGATGGCAATAAATTGATACGCCTAACTGTCATAACATTACTGACATCAGAGAACAATTTTTCACTAGAAGCAGATGTTGCCGGAATAGCTAAGTACTTTTTGCTAATTGTGATAAGATTAGAAAACGTGATTCCTGTGATGTCTACCATTTAAAAGGGCAAGTACTAAAACTAGTTTCCTCTATCATCAAATATCCCTCAATTTTATCACGCTTTTCAGATTGATAACGATTAGCAAATATATTCTGAAGAAGAGAATTCCCAGATGATTGTGATTGTTGTTGTTATCGAATTACGCCTAAATCTTTTTTGACTTTTTCATAAATTTCTCTTAAGAGATTTTTGTTCTAATCATTTGCGATTCAGAAGCAAAACTAAGAAATTTACATCTTGGATCTAAGATTGTAGCTATCATACCTTCATCTTGAGGTACGTTCTAATAATGTTTTATCACTATATATAATGCTGATTTAACTTTCCCAATTAAATCATTACAGTCCTGTGGTATATTTATAGAAATTTTTCGCCACTTTGGATGATCATCAATTTCATCGTCATCATCAGGATCTTTAATACCAATATCATTATCAAAGACCATTGTAAGGTTGGTGAGATCAATTTCCTCAGGATTTATTTTACTGGAGCTAATAATCCCATTTGTAATCTCTGTTATTGCATCATACATAAAGCTTATTGTCACATATTTACTACCTTCAAAAAGTTCAGTTCCTGATGCAAAAGGTTTTAGTATTATAATTAATTGTTTGATGGCAACCCACTCGTCTTCAGTAAGATTTATTTCACTGAGTCTTTTTCCATGTTTTCGTGTTGCTAGATCTTTATCTCTCAACATAGTCATTAACATTACATCAATAATCATGAATTTTTTCTAGTCGAACCCATGCTAAATATGATAAGTTCTAATGTGTATTTACATCAGAAATAAGTCTAAGATAGTGATTATTTTCGTTTAGATTCTAGGATTAAAGGAATTAAATATTAAAGATCAGAAAATGATTCAATTACAAATATGAATTTTAAATAAATTTATCTCTTCCTGATTACGTCTCATGTTTTGTTGAATTTCAATTAATCGTTCAGTTTGCTTTGGCATTGTGAAGAAACTGATTAAACGTTTTGCTTATGCAACTAATCTTTGCTAGGATAAGCCCTTTTTCTACTACTAGTTGGAACGTATGAGCTGCATATGGTAAACGTATGATATTATTAGAATCTTTAAGTAGCTTGCCAGCTTTAACCATATTACTTCCATTATCAGTGATTAATGTAAATATTTTACCATTTAAATTTCATTTTCTAATGATTTGATTAAGACAATTAACAATATTTTCACTTGTATGTGGATATTTTAAATATTCAATTGCTAAAGTAGCTTCATAAAGTTCAAATTGAAAGTTTATAAATGAACAAGTCATAGCTAAGTAACTAGCTCTGCTCCTTGATGTCCAAAGGTCTATAGTTAAAGAGCATGATACAATATCTTGTTCAAATAGATGAACAATTTCTTCTTTGCAGAAATTGTAACTCTTAACTAACAGCTCCCTCACTTTTTTATCACTTGATAACTCATAAAGTGGATCTAATTCTTCCACAAATTCACGAAACCCTTCATCATTTCTAATACGTATTGGTTGATTATCTTTTATAATAATCCTAACAAACTTTTTATCAAATCGATTTTTTTTAGCAGAAATATTTTGAGTTTCTTTGACATTTTCATTATTCTGCTGTGATAGATCACTATCGCGTGTAATACAATATTTTGCTAAATGAAAAATAAAATTGCCAGTACTACTATCAGATCCCATTATCCCTCAAGCGTTTTGCAGGCAAATTTGCCTGCAATTTTATTTAATAATTAAAATTATTTATAATAATTTTAAATATTTTT